GAGAAAAAAGTCAGTGAAACTACAGACAACACATAATTTTGACTAATGTATACCACAGGAGGGAGCAGTATTCTGCCAGTGTTTCTGGTGACAACAAAGCAGGAAAGCCTACAGAAACTTTGAACAATGTCCCTTTTAAAACACCAGAAGGAAGCTAATTTTGTGAAAAACACTGCCACTGTGTTAAAACAAATGACTTGGGATGCTGTAGAGCTAAAAAAAAAAATAAATGTTGTTGATATAGACAGAATCACTGAAGTTTTGGTTCTTCATTCTGGCTGCTGGATGATTGTTCGGGATTCAATGAAGCATCAGTGTACAAGATGTGTTGTGTACTATATGCTTGCAGGTGCTACAGGTTGTTTTGCCATTCAGATGGTTTTACAGAGGAAGGTTCCTTACCCTCTTCAGTGGAACCTGCTCATTTCAGTTGGTGAGAGCTGATACATACTATATGCTTTCAGTGGGTACTAACAGGTATCACTACTGTCTCTGCAGCCTCTGCTCCTCTTCTTTGTAACCTCCCTTCTATCCTCTCTCAGTGGCAGCATCGGTGGGCAGTTATGCAATAACTCGCTGGGAAACCCAGAAATGCTCAGACCTCTGGCTGCTACTGGAGACGGGTGAAGTTCCAGACAGATCACCGCCACGGGGTGAGTATAGTGTGTGGCTTATGGAATATGAATTTTAATGGTAAATGGTCTTAAATGGTCTTATACTTGTATAGCGCCTTTCTATGCTTTTACAGCACACTCAAAGCGCTTTCACATTATTCGGCCATTCACCCATTCGCACTCCCAAGCACTCACGCATTCACACGGTTAGGAAACGACCCGCTCTACCTCCTGAGCCACAGCCGCCCCCCAATGGTCACAGTGGTCTTTTTGGATAATGTGAAATGCAGTATTAAAGGAATGTATAATTGCTCTTTTGTTTTGGTCTCAGTATTCTTAATAGATTTGTATGTGCCAGCTCTGTTCTTTAGTCAGACGTTTATGCTTTGCTTACCTTTCTGTGTGTTTCTTTCAGTGCCTAAACCAGAGGAACCAAAAGGTCCTGGGAAGACAAAATATGGTGATGTGATGGAATGAATATAATTTAAAATAAATTTGTTTAACTACTGTGCATATCTACTTTTTTTCTAAAATGTGGAGATAGTCAGATAAGCTATTTATTACAACAAAACAGTCAGTATTCACCTTTATTTCTTCATTAGACACATGAATCAAGTGTCATGTTTTTTTATTTTAGCTCCTTTTGAATTTCATAACAGCATTAACATCAGATGTTAAGCTTGTGATTTGGTGGTATTACAGTATATGGATGTCTATTTGACATGCACTAGAATTATCACTGCACTGCTAAAACCAGAGACTAGTTTTCACTGGTCAACCAACCTGGTAAATGACCAATCTGTTTTCAAGCTTTATGATCTAAATTTATGTTTTAATCATGTATGCTTTGGACTACAGAGAGCACATTGTGGTGGAAGGAGACATCTTTTTAAACAAACAATATTAGCTATGAAATAAAATGTGCAGGGCAACAGTTTTAATCCACATGAAATCAGTGCATTTAAATCCTGTGTGGACATTTTGCATCTGTGCAAAATTTTAATTTTATGACATTATAGGCTCATTTAGAAGCATGGCGGCATAAGCAATAGATTTGCAAATTAGTTTTGATAGAGTGCATGCTCATAAAATTCCAGAAATATTCATGTCAGCATAGTAATGCATTTACCCAGTGTTCCATACAAGATCCACCCACATACTGTATGCCACACAGAGGGGAATACTGTTGATCCCAGCTCGGCAAGTATCCAGATTCAGAGGTATTACCATTTTCAAAATCTGCCATGTCCCTGTAAAAATATCAGTAGTGTGGATCTTTACCACATAGACATATAACATGACCAGCACTCATCCCCTTCACATACACAGGTGCTATCAGTTGTGTCATTTCAGCTTGTTGAGTATTAAATGGAAGTCAAGTTCCTTTAAAAAGCTGTGGCCACTTGCCCTTTATTCCAGCTCATACCCACAACTGTTTCAAATGGTACTTGTGAATACTGCTTTAAATATATGTAAACAAAATGTTTTATTTTTAAAGTTTTGAATCAATGTACTAAGCACCATCAATACTGAATTGTGTTGCGGCAGTGAACACGACCACCAAAAGAAAAATGCGATTATGATTACATTCAGCTTTCTTTTAACTGCACTTTGACTGTTTACGTGCATAGTTGAACAACTTTATACAATAAAGTGTTAGTAAGATCAGTTCTGCCCCTTGCAATACAGGCTGTTGAAACAGAGTCTTTTAAGCATGTTTTAGCACCTTGAGTGAATGGAGTGACTGAAGTCCAGGCCTGTGATTCATGAGGACAAGCCAAATAAATTCTGAGAACTGAAAACAGGAGCTTACACCAGCACGGTGGGAAATGTTTACAGTTTGTGAAAGAAAAATGTCTGAAATGTGGAAGATTTTTGTTTGGTTGAGTATTCCTTTTTACTCTCCATCTCTGTGCGGCCTGAAACCACCCCGACTTTTGATTTCTCTCACTGTCATCTTCCCACTGACTGTAATTCAGATTTGATATAACACTGCCAAGATTCAGGGTTCATGAATTGAATGAGCTCTCAATTTCTTTGTCACATACACAGTGCTACTGCCGGGAGGGGGAAGACTTAGAGAAATAGAAGAAACAGGAGACAGTGTGTTGTGAGAAGATTGATTGGCTAGTGGAGTCCAAAACAAACAATGTTATGTACTGGCCTTTTTTACGCTTGACAATCACTGACATGCTTTATAAAGTCTACATAGTATATGTGTGTGTGTTTGGCTGTTTTGTGCAGCAGCAGCAGTACGTGTGCGTGACAACATGAGAAAAGAGTGCTCAGTTGTCTGACCCTTTGTCTTTCATTGGTTGTGTAACAATCAAACCTGAAATGCAGTAAAAAAAAAAAAAAAGTTCCCAGCATTTTTGCAATTCTAAGCGGAAAAACCTGAAACAGTACTACTGAGTATCTGACCATCTCTCGATAACCTAGGGCAATAATCAATTCCCACAAATTGATGTGTTAACAAGAACACGGGTGTGTGATCGATTGTGAGAGGGATGGGGAGTACATATGTTTGCTCTGAGGGGATTTATTGATCGTGCATCCTATCTTGCAGGGTCTGTAGTGCATTTGTGAAACATAGTAGGGGAAATATATGACTCAGTATCTGGTCTGACAGGGAAAATAATACTACACTTACATAGGCAGGCAAGTTACAGGGCGCCCTCTGTGACAGTGTGACAGTATCTTCAGCATGATGACGGAATGTACGTACAAGACTGGGCAGGTCAGAGATAAACATGGGTCTGGGCAGGAACAGAGAGTTTCTCAGTGTGACTCATCGCTAAAGAAAGAGAAACAAAGAAAGTGTCACTGAAGTGGAGAAACGGCTCTGACTATGAAAGATTTAACTGGTGTGCAGGGAAGTGCTGAAGAATAAGTGCAGCTTTTCAAACCTGACAAATTCTTGATATGTCATGTTATGTAATATCAAAGTTGATACACGAGGAAAGGATGTTTTGAGTGAAACATAACTGGCATTTCATTTATTTGATAGGATTGTTTGTTGCCATTAAATGTCATTGCCATGTCCATAACAATGTGAAGTAGACAGGTTTAGTGATGGAGCTTACAACTGGACCAAGCAGATACAGAGATAAACACAACATGAACACCTGCAGGACAATAATCATATAGCCTAATAAATGTCATCTTTTTTTAAAATGCATTCTACTGCAACAAACAAGGTTTATAAGCATCACACTAGCTCCACTGTTACTTAGACTGCTGTACATTGCATAGGCGTCTCTTTGATTTCCCTTTGTGTAATGACTGCTATGAACAGGAGGAATGAAAACAGCAAGCACAATCTCTTTCAGTGTACACTAGGTCACCTGACCTGTTTTCTGAGCTCCTTGAAAAATTGTGAACCTATCCTTTAACCACAGTGTGAAAGGCTTGGAGTTGAAACAAAAACCTGTTCCCCATGAGGAGTGTGTAAGCTGATAGTGCACCCAGCGCTTTCTGGTTAAGGGGATGGGTATAATAATATCCAGGCTTTATGAATAACGTCTCAGCATTAGTAATAACAAAAGCACAACTCAAACTGGAGCCTACCTCAGGCCTGCACCAATGAGCACTGAGCTCATGCACGCCGCGGCCAATGGCTGGTCTCGGGACGGTCGTGCACAGCCATTTGAAGGGCGGTCCTCGTAAGTGAAAGGAAAGTATGGATCTCTGAGGAGCTTAGGTGGGAAGAAACACTCCGAACAACATATGTAACAATGTAAGTCTTCAACAAGATATGTATTTACCGAACATTACTCTTATTATTCTTTATATTCAGCTCTGTGTTTTCTTAAGTTTCTTAGCGTGTGTTGGTGTGTTTTTGACTGATCACGTCAGTGGAGATTATCAATACTTTCATGGCTTTGATAGCGACTGACCAGGGCTGCAAACTGAATGGGGCGTCGGGGATTTACGGCAGAGTTGGGCCAAGAAAAGAAGTGTTGCAAGGCAAGGCGGAGAGCTGTAGCGCTGGCCAAATGCAGCCAAAAGACACAGAGTATTCAACAAATGGTTTGCCCAAAGCTTTTCTGCACAGCCTGAGGACCCTGTTTGACATTTTGGATGATAGTGGACGGGGATACGTGCACATCTCGGAGATTGAGACCCGCTGGCAGGGCGCAGACACCCGGGACCTGCCCGGCGGGGTGCTGGGCTGCCTCAGGAGGGTC